CAGGTAACCACCATTTCAATTTTTCTGGAAACCCAAGAAACCTGCAATTTGACAACCGAATTTTACCGCAATGAGTTAAATGATAATACTGATTAGGAAAATCTACAGATATAGATCAACAACAGCTTCTAAATACTGTAAAATAAAAATGCATTTAGCATTTATTGAAGTATATTTCACTGCATTTCCTAATTTCCCACCCATAAAACCCTAGAACCACCGTTTTCGTAGGAAAACATAGGGGAGTAGGGAGTAATGAGTGGGCCTACATAAGCTACCGTTGCCAGAAGGACTGCAGTACTTTTGCCTGTGTTCTCATACAGGCATAGTTATCTCCTTCTGAAAGCTCAAGTATTAATTTGTGCGTGATTTGCATCCAAAAACCGAGAATCAGGCGCTAACAAAAGTTTCAGCACTTCCACTGGTAGTACTGGCCCTGTACCGTATTTTCCGGACCATAAAGCTCTCCTAAAGGCCTCTAATTTTTTCAAAAATTGACAGTACGCCTTATGACCTGGAGCGCCCTTTATATCGATTAATTCTGGTTGCTGACCTCGAAGTGATTTTGTGTGAGCACAGCGCTGCATTAATCCGTAGTCGCTTTTTACGAGAAAATTAAAGGTGTTTGACTGTGCCTTATAGTCCGGAAAACAAGGCACATGGTTGCCCGGTGAACTGCAACTAACTGCTCCCTCTCTCTATTTGATCTAGAGAAGTGAAAACCGGCTGGTATCGCCTAGCGAAGTTGCCGGCGGCGTAATTGTGCTTGCTATCGTGTCACATGTCCCCACTCACCCGTCTAGTCGCAAGGACCGCTCGGCTAGTCGCGTCGTGCTTATGATACGAGATTATCGTTCTGGGTATGATAGGCGAGCTGTGTCCGCGTCGTGTGCATGTGGTCGGGTCCATTACTGTGTGGGAGCTCGGATCCGAACTACTGTCCCCCCCTATCCCCTTTATGTTTTAAAATCCTGGTCAAGTGTAGGCTGTGACCAGTTGGCTGTGACTCAGAGACCTAGGCTGTGTGAGCTGAGATCTCCTCCCCACTTCCATCCTTTTGCTGGTCAGAGGTATGTGCTGTAAGGAAGACGAACTCGGGAATCTTGTTAGAGAGAGAATGCTTTATTTTGAAGGTAATATCCAAACTTTTTAGCAAAAAATGGCTCCATTCACCGAGAGCAAGGGATAAAGCAAGGTAAGGAGTCATGATAAAAGGTCATAGAATACTCAAACTTAAAGGTGTACACGATATTCACATCTGTTCTGGAGAGACAGGTTGGCTTTCAACTTCTCGATTTCCATTGCTTCACACGTGAGGTAGCGTGCTAGGAATGGGAGTACAGTGTGCTGATATGCCGATGTACGGTAAGATATATGACGGAAGCTTCGGCGTACAGTACGGGAAGACTTCGCAGTCATTAGTTCAGAGTGGAGGGGTGAGCGACCTCACTAAGGATGCGATCAGCAAATTGCTTGACCGTTTTGAATTTTCGCTGTATTGTAATTTCTGCTAAAAAAACATAAAACCGGCAGCTGAGGAGAGCATTCGGAGGATACGTTTAAAAATGACCAGGTATTTTTTTTAAGTAACGGTGGAAAAATAACTTGAGAGCATTAGAGAATGAGGTGGAGAATACAGGCATCTATAAATCGACAGATTAGGGCTCGCGGCGTGCGATATGAACGCAAACGGCGGACATGATGTACAAGTTTACGGATTTTAATAAAAAGGCCTTTAATATGAAGGGTAAATGAGAGTTTATATGCAAGATTCGCAAAACGGTAAGGCCTAAACCTCTTCAAGACAAGCGATCGCTGTTGTTCTCCGAACAAGTCTTTTTGGCGCAATCTCCCCTCAGTGCCTATGTGACCAATCAGTCCGTCAACTACTCTGGCCTTACTTGCTGTCTGCGATGTCTTGGCGGCCAAATGCTGAACCGCCCTGAAGGCGAGATCGTTCTGAGCCCGGATCCAGATCTGGCGACACCGCGTTGGGCTGACAGATTGTACACGTGTGTGGGCGAGCTGCTGAAATGACGATGGCGAGCGCAGATCTCTCTCGCCGTCAGTCGGTCGGACTGATCTGTCAAATTACTTACTTTTGCTCAAGAGTCGCGCTG